GGGCGAGCAGCCAGCTGGTCTGTGCAAAAGAGCTGGTAAGAGAGAAGCTCGAACTCACAAGCGAAAGCTTCCTTTCCAACTCTGAAACGTTCTTCGCCCGCAGCCTGCGTAGAAGACAAAAGACTGGTAGTGAACAGCTGCAGACGTGGACCGGCAAAAGCTGCGAGGTGCAGGATCCGAGCACGATGACTCTCTGTCAGATCAGCGAGGAGCAACTGCCCTGCCACTTCCTGCAAGTAATGTTCCAAAGTTCGGCGCTGTTGCCAGCGCCCCCTCCATTGAATGCGCTCGACATCCTCCGTCATCTGATACATCCACCTTGCCCCCGATCCCCTCAAAGATTTGGGGGTGATGCCTTTAGCATCCTCGGCTGTCGGAACTCCCAAGCTGCCGAAAAGCAAATCCCAGCGCTTGCGAAAAACAGCCGGTGAGCAGGCGAACAGCGGGACAATGCCAGGCAAATGACCAAAGAGGGCATCAAGGAACTTGACGGAACAAAAGTCTGAAACCTTGGCATGCTGTCGTTGAAGAAATCTACGGGTTTTCGCTCCCAAGATCGACACGCAGGCGACCTGGGTACATGTGAGCAGATCTCGCGGCAAAAGCAGATCTCGTCGACGGAGCTTAAGGATTTCTCCTGGTCTCAGAAGCCCGTGGAAGCCCACAAGTAGAGCAGCAGCAAAGTGAGGCCACTGCCAAAGCAAAGCCACTGTGATGGCGGCTCGAAAGACAGCCTCTGGCATAACCATGGACCTTTCCACAGGTTCTTCTTCCTCCCAGCGAGTGAGGATGCTCCAAGCTGCGCCAAGCGACGCGCGGAAGTGCTTAAATCGGTCTACAACAGCATTCAAAGTCTCAGAGAAAACGTACTTTGGACCTCCGCTGTAAAACAAAGCCTTGCCGTACCCGACTAAAGCGGTGCCGAGCAGCAGTCCTGAGCTTGCCACCTGCTGAAAAGAACAATTCAGTTCGCCCTCAACCCAGCGAGAGAAATGCAGGAAAAGTACCTCCCTCCTGGCGGCGACTACTTTGGTGAGGCCGCCGCTGAAGTCGAGGTTGACCCGGAGCGGTCGTCAGCAGCGGCACTTCGCCGTCTGGGCATGCTGCGCTTGCAGCAAACTCAGTAGCAGAACAAGCCGTGTCCAGCGGCCCAAGGCTCCACTGAAGTCGTCAGCAGAACGAACGACAGTCAGAAACCGATGATCACCATCAAGAAAGCCCTGCAGCCAGACTGGAAGCTCAGCAGCGGCAGCACGCAGGGGCCCAAGTCGAGACGGGTCGTCAGCACAGTTATCGTCCGTCCCTATGTGAAAAAGGCAAGGATACAAATCACCTCCCAAGATGTAAGGCAAGCTGGTGCTGATGAAGAAGTTCAGGCTAGCACTGCTGGAACGTCCTTTCGAGTTACACCCAATAGAGACTCGGCTATCAAGAAAAACTCCAAATCGAATGCTAGGCGCAGCTTTGGACATGTACTTGAGGAGGCTTCGGTATGCAAGTTCCTCGTTTATGTTGATGTGGTTGATGCGCTTGAACCTGTACTGCATGAGGGTTTTCCAGGTCAAGCACCGCCCAAGGTCACCTATCCATCGTGGAGGAACATGAGCAGGGCGTCTCACTGCACGATCATCATTCCCTACAGTTCGCAGTGCTGGCAACTGCAATTCGATCAATCCCTGCATGACTCCCAACGGCAGGACCCTGAGAATTCGCTCAAAGCCCCGCCAACCCGAGGACTGCGTCCGAAAACTGTCATGCAGTCAGGGCGGCAGCAGTCCACAAATTTTCTCAGGCTCTCCCGGTCGAAAGTAGAGTCCAAACGCAAGTGCTGGCCCCGAAAGGAGCAAGTGCACCCCCTCGCTAGTGCTCGTAGTGCAGGGTTGTTTGCAAGCAGCCGGGTGGGTCGCTGGAAAGGTGTCCCGAAGGCGCAGAAGCTGAAGTCAACAGTAAAGAAACCGCGCTCAAGCAACCGTTGAAAGATGTCTAGCTGAAACAACACGGATCCCAAAGGTTGTTCGGCAGTGGCTAAATTACCATAGGCAGCTGCAAGGTGCAAAATGTACCCGACCCGACTTGCGAGATGATTCCCTTCACGTGCGCGTGAGTCGTTTGGATCAAAACCCCAAGGCATAGCCCGACTGCGCAACCTGGGTCTGTGCATCGTGCCGAAACTGTGAAATGGAAGAGCAATATGAAAATGTGCCACCACTCGTCGGCAACGCAACCCGATGATGCAAAGAATTGTGTGAGGCTGCATAATATCCGTGCGGGCCCTGACTAACATCAAAACCCGGATGAACTCGAAGTCCCAGGAGGCTCGCAGCGTGCGTCAAAATGCCTCGGCCTCGGAACATCTCGCAAACATCAAAGAGGATGCCTTCGCTCAGAGCTCGTGGAATCGGCTCAACTTCAGAAGGCCCTAAGGCGAACTGGTCGAGGTAGCGAGCAAGCCGAGGCTCAAGTGCAGTGTAGAAGCCCTTGTGGTCAGCAAACCGAAGCAACTCTGTACTGGCTTGCAGCGGAACTTCACACGAACAAATCCCAGCTCCGAAAGGCGAAGCATCCGTGCAGTACAGTCGGGTGGAGGGCTCGGCTCGCAAATTGCTCATTGCGCAGGGAACAAGGATCACCAGCAGTAGTAACTCCTGGCGGGCATCATGACTCAGTCGAAAGATCTCGTCAGCGTGGCAGCCTAAGCCCTCATGGTAGACTTGCGAAAAAATGCTGAGCATCGGCCGCCTGAAGATCAGCACGAACATCCAACAACCGAGAACCTGCTGAAGCAAAGTCCGAGTAGAATGTCCTAGCACGACCAGCTGCAAAGTGATAGCTGACAAGGCGGTGCTCTTCAGGCGGGGAGCAGCAATGTCACCACGAACACCGTCAAGCTGGCCTCCTAAAATGGTCGCAGAATAGGCATTCCTTACAGCTTTCTTCGCAGAGGTCCGCAAGTGGACTTTGGCATACATAGCACCTGCTTGACGGAAGAGCTGCACATCCCGGCGACTAGGTGATGGCTGCTTACACTTCTCCCAAGCATCAACCAAAAGGAGATACACATGGTCGTCAATACAAAGAAGGTCGAAACGCGGACCGCGGGGAATAGGGTGTCTGTAGCAAACTTGCTCATGAGATGCCAAACACCCCGCGCATTGCAAGAGTACGGTGTGACAGTGCTGAGCGGTCTCGACAGCAAAATTCGTACCCATTGCTAAAGTCTACTGGGAGATCATGTAGTTCAGGTCTGTAAGCATGCCGCCCTTGAAAAGCTGAGCCAGGAAATACTCCGTGCAAGTGGTTTCTAGATGCATGTTCGTCAGAGACGGCAAACGCATGATAGAAGTCCTTAAGATCATCAGATGAAATCACGAGGTTCTTGCCCTGAGGAATAAATACCTGCGTTAACAACGATGCGTGAGCCAGAGAATAAGTGGCATTCGAAACTGAAAAAGACCTCCCATTCTCCGGAATAGGGTTCAAAATCTGCCGATCCACAGTAGCGCTTTTTGTAAACAGAGAATAATCGCACCGGTACTTGACCTCAGATTGCGATGCTGGAATAAGATGTAGTGATTGTACGGCATCCCAACGCTTATAAAGACGAAGCTGCCGTGTACGGCTGGCCTGAACCCTAACCCTGGTTGAGGAAGGCCATTCAGAACGAGGCCGACGAAAAAATCGTGGATCACGGAAGCCAGCTCGCAAAAGTGGGTCCACAAGAAACTTATCTGCCTTGAAGGTGGGGGCTTGCTCAAAGACGAGGCGATCAGGGTCCAGCGGCTTGTAGGTAGTGCTGGCTCCCGTCACCCGAGGCAAAGCCGCACTCTTGCTCGCAAGCTGACAATCACTGTCGAAGACGCCAGCCTGGGCGGCAGGTTTCTTGGTACATCCTTTGTAAGGCTGAAGCTGTGATGAAAGCTCAAGGCAGAACTTCTGCATCACAGCAAGCTGTTCACTCAACGTCTCAAACTTCTGAACCGAACGTTCAAGTTCGCATTTGGGCCCGTGGCCCAAGCGAATCCAAGTTGAGACCATGCCCTCAAGACGATGAATCATCGACACCTGCGAGTCAGGGGGGGGATCACGAGGTCTTCCGAGTGCAAGCCAGTAGTTCGCGGCAACAAGGTGGCGAGTCAGGAGTCTGCACTGGTGCCTGTGTTTCCATCGCGCTCTGCGCCGGCCCACCAACCTGGACTGTGGAGCTTCCAGTGCAGGGGGCAAAGGGCATGGCCACACTTCTCTGGAACCCTGCGAGGCAGCGCTCGAAAAGTTTGCGCGAAAGATCTATAAATAGAAGTTGATAAAGAACACTTCGCCTTCAGCAAAAACCTCCGAATGAAACTGCACAAGGTAGAGGCACTGAGGCTGTCGTCAAGTCCTGAGGGAAAAATCTGAGGGAGGAACCAGGTGTCTCCGCTTACGACTTCTGCTCGCCGGCGCTCCCCTCCTGCGCCCCTTTGCCGCGCTTTCCACGGCCTTTGGGACCTTCCGGATGGTTTGGCGGAGCCGTGGTTGGCTGTCCATGCACCGCACTTGTCCTCTCCTGTATCAGCTGGGCATCTGACAGATACCCCAGCTGGGCTGCTATCCACCTCGGGTCCGCTAACATCCCGTGTGGGACTTCGGCACGAGGGGCTTTCCGAGATTCGACCAAAGCAAACGGAGGATCGTCGAGGCAAGTCAGCAGCCAAGCCAGGCGGGTGTGCCCCGACTCGTTTGCCACCTGCTCGCAGAACACAAGGCCTCTCGCGATGATGGAGGCGACCTCGTCGCCTCGTCCATTTTCCATGGCCTCCCAAGCCGTGCAGAGAAGGAACGACACATAAGCCAGCGTCTTGAAGCTGCCCAAGAGAACCGTCTCTTGGAAGTGGAGGTGCATGTCTCGAGGCTCTAGGTCGCCCACTCCGGGCTTCCGTCGAGCTTGCGCCAACCGCTCCTTGACCTTGTTGTAAGCCAGAGTGGGGCTCCTCTGAAAGTGTTCCCGCACCAGTTGTCGAGCAGCCATCCCCTTCACGCCGGGCAGCTTCAGATCCTCGTCGGCCCGCCCGGTCGAAGACAGGAGCTGATGAAGTGGATCGGAGCTCTTTCTCGATGAAGCCGCGAGCTGCGCAAGGATGGCCGTCTGCTGGACAAGGAGCTTTTGCAAAATGCCCTCTCCCTCGGCACCCTCTGCGGCGTCGGCCTCCTCGTCGCCCACGGTGTCCTTCGTATCCGGGATGGCCGCCAGGCGAAGGGGTGGAGCAGCCAAAGCTTTTGCAGTTGCTCCCAGACGAAGAGCTCCACCAGTCCGTCCCGAGTGCGCGCTGGGACCAGGAAGATCCCCCAAAGTCCGAGGAGCTCGCCCCGCCAGAGCAAGAAGTTGCTGCACCTGATCCGGTGTTAACTGTGCGCTCTCGCCCCTCGGCGAAAAGCTGAGGAGCCCAAGCGGGGCCCGCCGGGGCGTCTCTCGACCTGATCTAAGCTCTGCAGACGGTCTTGCAAACCGCTCAACAGCGTAGCCTTCGAAGAGGTCGTCTGAAGGAGCTGCTGCAGCAGGTCGCTTTAGTCTGCTCCTCCAGAGCCAAGTCCAGGCAACTCGAGGCCTGGAGGAC